GTCTCTACAGTCTTCAGTTAAAACTAATCACTTCCTGTGCACCAATGTCAACGGATGGACATGAGATTCACAACACTGCTATACTTGAGAGATACAGAAGTCAAAACATCAGGTGTGTCAATGGCTTGAATGCAACAGACATCATTAATGTGTAACCATTAACGTGTCAATATGTTTGTAAAAAAAAAATGATATTTAGAAAACATAATGCATGAAATCTTAAAACTTTAAGAACATTTACATTTGTAACTCCCTTCAAGTTTCCAATTGGACTGTAGTTAAAGAACATGAGCCAACAAACTTTGGGTAGCATTTAAACATGGCAAATGACAGACGCCATTCATGTTCATGAGTTCTTGAGTTTAGCCTTCTGCTTAACATTTGACTTACAATAAAAATAAACAACCTTTCAAACTTTTAACATTACATTTTTCCTTTATAAACAACCATTCCAAACTGACTGTAGTTTGTAGGAAAACAACAATTGAGAAACATATTTTTTTCTCTCAGTTGTTTCAATATTTTCAACTGTCCAGCGCTGTCCTTGTCAGCCTACGGGAGCCATTCTTTATCTTCAAGTGTTTGGGACTTTGGGGACAGTTGTTACCATCCAAGGTCAGCAACTTATCTGGAAGGACTTAAATGTTGTATTTGAGTTTCCTGGGGATAACTTAGGGTTGAGTGTGTAAATCAGCCAAAAGAGTATGGCATCCCAAGGGAATGGCTTCCTCAGGTGCTAATGCACTTCCAACACCCTCAAAATCACCACTCCAACATTCCTTCTGGCTCGTCCTTCTTCTTCAGCACCTTCTTTGTGAATCATACATCCCCATGGTGGTCTGTGTATCTCTCTTTTTAGCTTCCCTCACTTGTTTTGACGTTCTAATGTGTGAAAAAAAATATTAAATTGAAATAAACTATAAAATAAAGGAAAACATGCAAGATAAATACTGGAAAGCTACAGTAAAATATTACTAACCAAAAAAAAATATTCCTTGACCATTGTTGTACTGCCTTGTTGAAGTAGACACACAGACCTATCTTAATTGACATCAATCAGCTCAATGGTTGGTCCCTCTTGCAAAAGAAGGAATATTAAATATCTCCAATTTAAGACATTTCACACTGTTTATAACCATAATATTATTATTATGTGATGTATTTTATATTACTATTATATTATTATTATTATTATTAGAGTTTGCTAAACCATCAGCCCGAGCGGCAGTAATGATTTCTCTTCCTTTGCTAACGAAGCCAGATATATTCACAACAAGCCATGGACTACTTTGAGCTGTAGCTGCTAGCTCGTGGTTAACAAAGATAGGGCCACTTAGCTAGCACTAGATTTTGCCAGCAAGAAACGAGGCACCATAGGCATATTATTTGTTAAAACCTTAAATTCACCAACCTCTTACACAACAAAACGACTCATATTTATACATCAAATAACATCGCCCTAGTGTAACACAATGGATGGAAAAAAAAGTTTGAAAAAAACTACCAAACTGCGCTACGTGGTTGTATTCTTCCTTCATGCACCGGAGTTTCATGTCATGTGCAGTTTCTCTGTAGGCCAGACAAAGTGGGGTTTCCCTTACCAAACTCCCAGGGGTTTTGTCGGTCTTTCTCTCCCCTTCCAGCACTACCGCCACCTACTGTCAGGTGTGTGTGAATGGCACATAACTGCCTTATGTGATCAGTCACATAAGTTTCTCAGTTTGTTTACATTCAGTTTATACTAAGTACATTCACATTATGTTTATTTATTTTTAGTTTATTTTAAATTCAGATTTTGTATATTTCACTTACATTTTACTTATATAATATTGTTTCATGTTTATTAGGCCAAGAATAATTTTTTTGAGTGCAGAATGCCCTGAAATGTTCTTTTTTATCAACCCACTGGGCGTGTTTAGGAGATCAGACACCGCTTTTCAGAGTATTAGTGATCCGATATCAGTATGATTTTGATGGATGCATCTAAATGAACACTAGTTTTGAGGGGATTAAAGCCTGGAAAAGTTTTGAAAATTTGGAACAGACAATACTTTTTAGACAGGTGTGATTTTGTTTCATTCAGCTAATACAGTCAAGCAGCAGCAGAAATTGTGTTCAAATATTTCACAAAACAATTAAGGCAGGACCGACATTCAATCAAATTTCTGTCTTTTTACTGATGAATGTTGCAATTTAATCCCATTCTTGTCTGCCTGAAACTGGCATTGATGTAAAAATACACTACAGCTGTCGATTGACTAGTGTTGCTAAGACTGTCACATCCTATTATAGCTATTAAAAACTTTCAGTTTTAATGGACAGGGTGTATCCTGGTTATATCACAGTTTGGCTCAGTTTGACAACTTATTGTTCAATTGTTTAACATGCATTCTGTAGACCCATTTAGGTTAGGTTAGGTTAGGAATGTCTCCCCTTTCTTTTGGCAATCTTTATAAAACAAAAAAGGCTGTGCATGTTGACAGAAAAAAAATGAATTTATGTTTTATATAGGGAGGTGGTGCTTAGCACCATCAAAATGCTCACGCAGAATGCCAAAAAAAAAAATAATAATGACATAGATAACAAGAAGACCTTCCGCTAAGGCCAAAAGTCACAGCTTCATATGATATGTAAATCTGCAAGCAATACCGCTATATATGTCTGTATTACAATTTTACCCAATCTGCAATGTTAAAGGACAAATTCCGGCGCAAAATGACACCTGGGTTAATAACACTTAATTTACAGAGTTGGTCTGTTCTCTGGGATATGTTTTTCATTCTAATCGCACACGTGACCAGTTTTAGCCACAAACCGCTAATTACCGTATAACGCTAGTCAACGGGCATTAAGTAAAGTGAAAAGAAACTATTCATATACCACTAACAAGGCTCAAAATAGCACCACACTTCTCCCCGGCAACAACGTGAGTTCACATAAGATTGGTGCGTTCAAGTCACATCTCAGAATGGACTGGTCAACGACTGTTTTCCCAAGATGGCGCCCGCCTGTATACGTGAGTTACTGGTTGTTCTAAACTATCTTTTTAATAGACTGTATAGTACACTTACAAAGTCTCAATGCTTCGTTTACCAAGTAGGCTCAATTATGCTACTGTGTAAGTGTGGTGCTATTTTGAGCGCTTGTTAGTGGAGTATAGAAATAGCTTTCTTTTCACTGTATATTTATGCCCCGTTGACTAGCTAATACGGTAATTAGCGTTTCTGCTAAAACCCCTGGTCACGTTGCCGATACGAAATGAATAACATATCCAGGAACAGACCAGACTCGGTAAAATAAGTGGGTTATTACCCCAGGTTCATTATTGGGCCGGAATTGTCCTTTAACGAAAGTGAAAACTAATTTGTGTGTCCACCCTATGATTCAGATCCCCTCTAAAATGTAATGAGATCTTCCTTGACCCAAGCTACACCCTTCTACTAAGTTTTGTAAAAATCAGGCCAGTAGTTTTTCTGTAAATCTGCTGACAGACAAAGAAACAAATGGCACCAAAATGAGGAAATAAAGGAGCTTCTTGAGTCTGATTGCATTCTTAAATATTAATCATGGTGCCCTGAGGAAAATATAAATTTTCAATCTATATTGTCAACCGAGAATCTGTAAAAATTGCTCTTCTAATAGTTGTCACTCTCATGAGCAGTTCTTAAAACCAACACAACAGCAGGAAGCTTTCCATATGGGTATTCCCAGGAGTAAATCTTCATCAAATGGGGGTCTGTGGTCTAATCTGCATCTATTTCAGGAACCACAGTGTGAGTATTTCTGGGAAGCCCTCTTGTAGGGCCATGTTGTTTAGGTTATGTAGTGCCTTAGTAATACTAATGTTTGGATAGGGAGCAACAGCAGCAGAATGGTCCCAGAGCCCCTTATTATCCCTCTGAGCTCCCCTTTAATGCTGCCTGTCTCTGGCACTCTGGAGCCCTACCAGAGAGAAATTAGCCCTCTAATTGACAGACAAAAGAAAGTTCATCTCTGCGCTATATTATGATCACTGTCTGATCTCCTCTTGCTTCTCTCTGTTTTCTCCTCTCTTCCTGCTCCCTCTGTCACTTAGTCACTTGTGATCTCTCTCATTCCCTTCCAACTCTCTGTCTCTTTTTCTCTTCCCGTCTCCCTCTTTCATCCCTCCTCTTCAGAGAGCCGTCCTATCCCTCTGCTCGTCTCCTTCCCATAATTCATAGTGACAGGAAAGGTTAGAGCAAGCACGTCAGAGCTCTGGCTGACAGAGAGGAGAATCGAGTGTCTTTTACAGCTGTGTCGTTACACACTGTTTACAAGACGGCACAGTTTGACTGAAAATACTGAAATGCAGCTCTGTCTGTGACATGAAATAAAGTCAGAGAGACAGTGTTGACATGTGAGGATTAGTGCTACACTTACTATAACATGGCTATCATCCTGTCATGTTCTATGATGCAGGGTATTCTTTCATTAGAGCTTTATTTGGCACTTTTAGCATCCACAATTGAAGGTTGCATAATTTTTTCTTTTACAGTTGAAGTCCAAATAAAAAAAAGTACCCCTTTTACCATTCATAGGCACTGCCAAATCAAACAGTATTTGCTAAATTCAAACATGCAGGTAAGGTGGGAGGCTGGAGGCACAAACACATCACATTAGTCATTAATCATCCCTCTAATTAAGCCCAGCTGAGAACGTTTCATGCTTAACAAATCATCAAAGATATTTTTCTGTATTAAAACAGGTCAGCTGAATTAAGCAAACCAGTTTAAAGATGAGATAATTTCACATTTGAACAGATTTAGTTTAATAACTACCTAAATCCTGGCTACCTTAGAATGTTTTGTTTATAACAAGTGATGATACAAATGCTGTTTGAGAGGTTTCCATCCTGCCAAAATAA